ATCGCGGGCTCATGTCAGGTTAACTTATTGGCCGGGTTGTTTGGAAGCCGATTAACGCTAACCCAGGATTGAAATTTAACTGAAGTAAGAATTTATCTTCTATAAAAATGTTTTTTTACTGCTTATGTTTTTGTAGTTTGAGATGATTCAAACTCAAAACAGGAGACCAAACGGTATAAACAGAAAACCTCACCACAGAGTTACAAAACTCAAATCAAAATTGCCGCTTATCCAGGGTTAGCTTAATCGCGCTATGAACAACCTGGTCCAAGAGCTCCGCTTTTAGGCTTGGCTAAATCTATAAATTATCTTTATATTAGAGTATTTCTAGAGTTACAGTTGTAGATCTATACAGTAAGATACAGATACAATTAACCAATTGATGCTATCTTTTTATTCGCCTAGCCTCATATTAATGATAAATTGACTCAGACTAACATTAGGGAGCTTAAGCAAACCACGACGACGACGGCAACGAGAACATCACTAAACAAAAGGTCTAATGAGCAAAAGAATAGCTGTGCACGTGCGTTATAAATCTTTGTACATTTCTTTGCCGTCCTCTGCAAAACAACAACGTGGAATGACCAAGTTCTGCGTCGTCTACGGAACGTGGACGACGACGGCTAGTTTTTCGTATTTCCATTTGGAATTGAACGCCGTCGATCCGCGTCGCTGCATACTTAGCTTAAGCACGTTTTAAGAGCCATTGGCGTACCGAACAGATCTAGACAATCGCGAATTTCGTTGGTAAAATATAAATACATTTTTTACTAGGCGTCGTCCTCGGCTTCCTCGTCGTCGTTGCTTAAGCTCCCTATTGTCGAAGTAGCTGTTAATCTTAAAGGGGTATTCTTTTTCCTCAATAGCAAAACGGTGGAACGACCAGGGGTAAAAAAAAACATGTAACCCTAGCTAGAACTAGTTGAGATAATAGGAAAAAATATATATCTACATTTCATATTCTACATTCTTACTAGTAGGAGTTTCAATGTGAAAGTACGTGCTGGCGTGAGGTAGAAGAAATACTGGCAATACAATTTGAAAAGTGAAGAGCAGTGGAAATGTTTTCCATCTGGGAGGGGAGGGTGAGGAGAGAGGGATCCGCCCTGCTAGGAAACGGCGTTATCAACCTAAATAAACATTGAAACATATATAAAATACGAAAGAAAGCGTTGTTTTTGACAATGTCCTACCTCCACCTGAGACTGACCTATTTCAGAAAAATGCTCACACTGGGGGAGCAAATGCTGACTGAAGCGCCTTGGTTTGGGGGGGAGGGTAGTAGTGGCGGTTGGAATTGATGTAGCCTTAAAGCAATCAGTGCAAGCCTGTATTATAGCATGACCTCTGCGATACCGGTGTAGTGCTCTACCAACTGAGCTATCAAGTCAACTGGGAGCCAGCCACGTTGTGAGTTCGTTAGACACAGCGGTATCCCAGAGGTGTTGTGTTCGAATCCCGTACAAACCTGAATGTTTTTTCAGGCTTTAATTTCACAGCTGTTTACGTTAGCTGTTTATGTAACTGTGATGATTAATCATGTCTTCATAGAGGATAATCCTCTCTTGAGTCAGTCCACTGTAGCCAAGTTCTACCCCTGAACTCTCCATTCAGCGCGCTGTATAGCTAGGGGTTGAACCCAAGCGGGAGAAGAACAGTTATTTCCAAATTCGACTAGGATGCTTCAAACGTGTACCTACAGTAGTACTCGATCAATGGAACATAACTTTAATAGCAAGTTCAAGGTCTTGATGTAATGTATCAAACACAAAAATTGTTGTAGGAGAAATTAGAAGTTCGATAAGGTTAACCTTCACGTGGACTGCAATATTATAAGTAATATTTCATGAAAACACTTGTCGCGATAATCCTTTGTTGACCGACAAAATTTCAATGGTACTGCAATCACCTCTCCGCTTGACGCCGGTGAACACGTCGGAAAGGGATGGCAGAACGTATTTTGAATTGTGGGTCTTTCAAGCGAGCGCCAGAGGCGCTAACTTGCAGGGGGTCTGAAGATATTTGTAAAATTATTATTTTCTGTATTTTTTGCTTGAAATTTGGGGAACCCCCTAGCCCTCCCGGCTCCACCGTCCCTGAGATAATTACTCCGGGAGCTCTATCTTATCGGTATGCATGGTATGACTGGAGCATTGCTTTATTCAAACCTCGTCCTATAACGGACTAAAAATTTGTGCCACAGGCAAACCAGCTCCTCGTGTCCATCATAATCATGAACTATATTGTCTTGCTTTGGTAATATGTTTAGTAAAACAAAAACAAAAAAAGTACTCAAAAATTCCGGGAACTGTTGAGAACCACCTTAATTTACTCCTCATTTCTGTCCTTTGGCCGCGCTTGAATCGCGTTCAGAGCTGCCTCAAGAACAGCGTTGTGTCTTGTGTGACTCCCGCGCGACAAACGCGCGACGATGATGGGATTCTCTCCCCAGGCTGCTTAGGTGCACTTGTTCCGCTTACGTTCTTTATGTCAATTTACCAAATTTTATTAATGGCTCGTACAGCAGGCTTGAATATCGTAGGTAAGTTGATTGACCATTCTTACGTCCAAGGCTTATGAGCTTAATATATTTTGCTTATCTGAGTGACGCGAGACGATGTGTTTGCTAGCTGAAACTCACGAATTCACCGTAATTAGTGAGCTCACACTTTGCATAGTCTCTCTAATAATTTCACAGCACTCGTAAACAAGAAAAAGGCAATGAGAAATTGCTCTAAAAAGTCTTTTGAAAGGGCATTAGAACGTCACGACTGGAGCTATATTAATCGGAATATACCTTATTTTGGTATCTGTAGCGAGCAAACAAATTTTCGTTACATGTCGGGTAAAATTTGCGTGTCTAGTGAAATTCCTTATTCATGTAAGCATAAGCAGGTTGAATTGTCTTAATTAATTTTATTTCTTATGCGAAAATAATATGTTATGCCTTTTACACCTTTGTAGGCTTAGCTTATGAACAACAGTGTGGAAGCTATATACAGTAATTTATAAGTCTAACGAAATTGTATCATTTCAATAAATTGTTTCGTTTCTTCCATTTGTGCAAGTGAGCTTATATGCCAATTAAGTTTATGGCAAACTTGTCGATGACGTCACATTAATCGATTCGCTTCCTTTGTATCATCGAGTTATAGCGCGTTTTCACGTGACATCATCAAATTCTTAAATCCAAAACTAAAGAGCCACCAAAGTTTTTATCCTCATCAGGTATAAGAGGTACTAAATTTATATCTGTTTACAACCTTCCAGCTCAATAGCGCCCTTCGTTTGAAAACCAGCGCATTTTAAATTTCGATGTTATGGGGGTGCGTGACATAAAGCTACGATCGTGTTAGTCGAAAAATATGTATTTATCTCGTGATTCTCAGCCATTTAAGACGTTGTCGTGTTTGGAAAGGTGCTTATTTAAATGTTTATTTTTTCAGTGCAGATAATCATTGTCCCAGAAAACCAAAATATTCCAGATGTAAACACTATTTTCCGGCGGCCATATTGGTGTATCACAGAGGAACGCCAACATGGCGGCTCCATACTAGGCTCTGTAAATTTGCGCGGAACATCTCGACGAATATCTCAACTTTGGGACAACGCACACACCTTAAACTTGGAGAACTGTCTTCTTTATTTATCTTCTGTAACATCACAATTTCTTGACCTTATCCACTGAACGGGTTTTGATTTTATTTTTTATTGCGTGGCAATGAAAACGCTCTATTACAGTCAAATCTCTGTTAAGTTATCACCCTGGCCTCCGAAATAGCCAGGTGACCGCTTAATAGAGGTTCACCGTTTAAAAGAGGTATGATCAAAATTTAGCGCGATATGGGGCAAACATTGAACAAGAAAACAAAAGTAAGCACGCCATCTACATTTATTGTTCGTAAGGACTCTAACGCGAAATACAAGTGGTTGCATGTGTTAAGGAGTCCACGCACTCGCCAACAGATTTTATGATAATGCTATTTTGTAAGGCAAGTGTCGAGCGTCTTTCCCTTTCGTCCATTTTTTTATGACCAAAATTGTCAGGGCCGTAACCAAGAAAATATTATGACTGAGGCAATGTCATTTGTTTATTTGTTTATTTATTTGCTAGCAGTGTTTTACATTCCCCTGCAAACAACAACAACAACAACAACAACAAAACCGAAAAAACTGAGGTAAGTGCCTTGGTTTGTCTGTTACTAACTACGGCCCTGATTGTTGTTTTATTCTTAGTGCTGCTTGATCAATGGTCTAAATGAGAAAACTAAAATTCTAATGAATTTGCTCCCCGCGAGTGTAGGTGTGTCTGCACCCAGTAAAGAAATGGGTGCCTAAGTTAAACAGAAAAACTCAATGAATAGCTGAGAACCCAAGTAAAATTCAGTGGACCTGTAAGTAAAAAGCGTGAGAATATAACAATGGCTAGACTTACATACGTATGTTTTGTCTCTGCCAAGGGACTCATCAGAAGCCTT